TTATCACTATTTTACTGAACACTTGTTTCTACTAAAGGAAAAACATTTATTATTAATTATTGTTCAAAACTATTGTCTCTAACCTATTAAAAAGAAAACTGTTTTAAGTGAAAATACTTTGTTGTGTAAAATATATTGGAACAAAAAATATTGATTAATTAATTAGTATAATTATGTGACTCTACTATTTGTACTCATAATATAAGTTAGTTTTAAATATTAATTGTTTTCTTTAGTGAAAAATAAATGTTAATAAAGTAATTATTATTTATTATTTGCGATAATTGTGGTGAAGGCCGTCGTATTGTGTGTGAAATAAATAATTATAATATTTATAATAATGAACGATAAAGTTTGCAGCGTTTGCAGCGATCGGGCCGTCGGTATGTCTAATAATTTATTTGACATTTGATTACTTTATAATCTGACCACACATTGTAAATGTGCTATAATTAAAATACTTGCATATATAATAGGTTATAATTTTGGTGCCCTAACGTGTGAGTCGTGTCGATCATTCTTCCGTAGAAATGCAACGCGTGTTGAGGTACTGTATATATAATTGTCTATTAAATTATGTCTAATTGATTAACAATATGTTTGATTAGGAATTTGGCTGTTTTTTCGGTGACAATTGCGATGTAAACCGTTTGACACGAAAATTCTGTAAAAAATGCAGAATTGATAAATGTTTGTCGATTGGTATGAAAAGAGTGAGTGATTTGTTGATTAATTTTATTGATAAATAAAGTTTTTGCAAAAATTAAATTTTGTTGTATTGAAAGGAAGCGCTCACTTATGGAGAAGATGGCGAAACTCCACGACATCGACGAAAACGAGTGAAAATCACAGAACCGGTCGACTCGACCACAACTGAGTTAATGCCATACAAGAGGAAACCCGATCTCATGAGTCAAATACCATCAGTGATCAGAGGATTGATATTTGACTTAAACGAGTTAGAATTGGGACGTTTTAAACAGCTGTTCAGCTCTATGGAGACGGTTAAGGACCCGCTCGTGAAGTGCACGTCGCGGGCCATCGAGTTTGCGGAGGTTTTCTGCATTTTACAGGTCAGGAATGAAACCAAATTCAAACGAATCGTCAAAATGTCCACAAATATCGATGCATTCAATGAACTGTGCGATGAGGACAAGATTGTACTGTTGAAGACAGGGGTCACAGAGATTATGACACTAATGACTGTTTTGAATTTTGACTACGAGGGCGAATTCTGGACGGTTCCCATTGTATGCCATGAAATACACATGTGATTGAGTTTGTATTAATTGATTGTCATTGTATAGGATGATGAAAATGCGGCTCAAATCCCGTTGGATGTGTTAAAGTGGGCCAAATGGGGTCTCTATGACGCCCACCGCAAATTCATGAGAAACCTTAAACAGGAATTCGATACCGATATTAATTTGATTGATATTGTAATTATATTTTTGACTTTTAATTATTTCATTAAATTTAATAATATTGATGTTTTGTAAATAGTTGACAGCAATACTGCTCTTTAATGCAAGTTTGCAAAACCTTATGTTTAAAGATAGTGTTAAGTAAGTGTTTTAGCAATGATTATGTTTTACCAATTTTAATTTACAATTAATAATTGAATATTACTCTTACCTAGATTTCAACAGCAGACATATATTTATTTACTTCAACGGTATTTAGAAATAAAACACAACTCGAAGTCAGAATCGGAAGAAAAATTTGTGCGATTAATGAATTGTTTGCAGGAATTATATGCTGTAAATCCGCTTCACGTAAATAATTATATTGAGGCCAAAACTCCCCTCAAAAATCCCGGTCCTCTCTCTAAAGAGTTATACGATCTGTAATTATTTATTCAATTATTATTAAATTGTATTATACAATAGTAATATAGTTAATCGTATTATGTATAAAATACTCATTAAATGTTTTATCTATTTAATATTATCTAGATAATTATTAGATAGTTATTATAACTGTCGTGAATTTAGCTTTGAATTTTATTTTATATTATTTAGAGCTATAATACTAATATACTTATGTTATAAACTATAAATTTATTTTAATCTATGATTTAGCTAAATATATTATAAAAACGTAATGTAAAAACACATGTAAATTCCAATATATCATTTCAATTCAACTTACAAATTAAAATATTCAATTTATAATTAGCAACATTGTAATTTATAAATGACTCGCATTTGATTTAATAATATGAATTATTTTGTTTCGCAATTAATTTTTAATATTTACTATTATCAACTTAAACAAGTTAATTACAAATGAGTTTACTGTTGTAAAAATGTCCTATTTTATCAATTATTCTTTATATACTGTAATTGTATAGTTAATCTAATATTGTATCATTTTGATGGACTTTCTAAGCTGGGATTAATACTACTAACAAATATACACATATTAGAGTAGTTACTAGTAATTTAATGTGAATTATTTTTAATTAATTGTAATTAATTAATTCTTAATTCAAATATAAAAGTATTATAATTATAATAAAAGCTGTTTAAATTTCCTTCATCAAAAATATTTAGGAAATACCCACATGTGTAGCAGATATTCAATAAAACAATGTTAGTTATATAAAACAATTTTCCTAAATAATTAAAATAAAATTTTGTTGCGGATTTACAATTAAATAAGAAATTGTTTGTTCATAAGCCTACTAAATATTTTTAAATTTTATGCGTTTTTTGTGAAAATTGTTAAATTATGAATACAATACTAAACAAATGGAATGTTAATGAGTTTGCAGTTTATGTAGATCTGGTGCTGGTGCTAAATGTAATACATTTATAATTTGTATTCATTATTATTTATATATTCTTAAGTTTTAAAGTAGAGTGTTACAATATTTAATAATGCTTTTATTTGTTAGTTCTTTCGTGTGAATTGTATAGAATATTCTTAGATAGAAATTCAATAGAATGTCGTGTTTTACAAGAATATTATTATTACATAAAGTATATGTAATTATATTGATTATGTCTTAATAAGGACTTGTTTGTTATTTCAATAATAAGTGTATTGTAACCAAATTAACAACAAATACTTCAAGAATTTGAAAATGTTTTATATTGTGATTATATTTTGACTATTTGTCTCCTGAATTAATTTATAAGTTTTTATAGTAAATGCTTTAAAAGTTAAATATTTGCATATTGTTTGACCAATACTTTATACATAAAGTATCGGAATTGAATTCATTCGGGAACATTTTTAGTGTCACTATTAAACTATAAATTAATTTAATTCTTTCTTATAAATGACTATCGGTTTATAATTAACTAATATAAATAACCATGATCATTGATCCGTAATTCCCATAACTAATAATCAATACAGAAAAATGTATGGACCTCACCATGGACAAAAAATTAACGTAATATTTATTGTAAGGAATTTATTGTGCAATATTTTACACGCTTTTAAGTAATAAAATATATGCTGAATATAAAGAAATAAAATTTTAATTTCAAGTTTTGTCATTGAAGATTTAAACCATGTTAAATAATTGATTGAATGCTCATGGTTATATTGTGCATACATTTATTTTATTTATATTTGTAGATGATTTTAAAATTACTATATAATATAACATGTTTGTTTTGTTTAGCCTATCAGCAATAAGTTATAACTTATTATAGAGACGTCATATTTATTGATATACTGTATGCTATGAAACATTGCGATAATTAAGTACACATTTTACAAGTCTACTGCTATAACAAATTGAAAAACTTTATTGTATTATAATAAATTCTACAATGTATGCTTTAAGAAACATTAGTACAGGTAATTAAAAGTTTTATATAAATATTTGTGTAAATATAACTATCTAATATTTAATACCAGTGGTAGTGTTTTATGTGTTATTATCGGTGGTTAACGTTTCGTTCATTCATTGATCCAAAGAATATATTAACAAATATACATGTATTGGAAAATTAATCAATATTTTAGTGAACACTTGTTTATATTGAAGGAAATATTTGTTATTAAGTGTTAATTAAAAATAATTTCTAATGTATAAAAAAGAAAATTGCTTCGATATAAATGTATTGTTAAGGAGATATATTTAAATAAAAATATTAATTAATTATTAAACTAAATGATATTATGTGCTTAATAAATATTCACAAACTTTGAATATTAATTAACATTTACTATTTGTTACAATTGAGATGAAGGACTTTATTTTGTGTATAAAATAAATAACAATAATTTCTAACAATGAGTGATAAGATTTGTTGTGTTTGTGGCGATGGGGCGGTCGGTATGTATAGTATTAATTAATTAAGTTAATAATATTTTTAATCAGTAAATACTCAAACATAACGCACAAAATAGGCCATAATTTCGGGGCCCTAACGTGTGAATCGTGTAGGTCATTTTTTCGCCGCAATGCCACACGGGCTCAGGTATACAAACTTATTAATTAAATTATGGTTAATTTAATGAGCATTTCTGTGTTCAGGAATATGTCTGCTTTTTTGGTGGCAAATGTGAGATAAATCGTTTGACGCGAAAATTTTGTAAAAAGTGCCGAATATATCAATGCTTTGCCGTTGGTATGAAAAAAGTGAGTGATTTTTACGAAATGTTTAAATATATTTGTAAAGTAATTATTGTTTGTGTTTTGTCTGAAAGGATTCGTTGACTTATGGAGAATACGCTGAATATCACAGTCGGCGACGAAAGCGAGTGAAAACCACTGAACCCGTTGTCTCGACTAACAATGAATTGCTGCCATTCGAGGCAAACACTGATTTATTCCGACAAATACCATATGCCATCAGAGGGCTTATATTTGAATTGAACGAGGTGGAATTTGGCAAATTTAAGGCACTGTTTAGCACTTTGGAAATACTAAAAGATCCGGCCGTAAAGTGCACCGTAAAGGTTAACGCAATGGCAGATATTTTCAGTATTTTAGAGGTGAGAAATGAACGCAAATATCAACAAATCGTGAAAATGTGCACAAATTTCAACGAATTCAGCGATTTGTGCGAAGACGACAAGATCTCACTCTTGAAGAGTAACGTTACGGAGATTTTCTTTTTGCTGACTGTTATGTACTTTGATTTTGAGGACGAATTCTGGACTATTG